GATGTTCAAAACTAGCTTAAAAGTGCAGTTTCTCTTACGACTGTTCTTTAGAACATCTGCACCTTGGAAGCAAAGCATATTCAATGATGCAGATAGTTTTTAACACTATTTTCCATGCACACTTTTCTGTTGGTTGAGATTTATGAAGATTATCTGCACCAATGCGTGGTTTAACTATAAATTTCATGAGTACTATAATGATAATAATATTACCTGTTAGAGACCATTCTGGTTGCAGCTTTGGAGGTGGCAGAAAAGGTCTGTTTTTCAGCAGCTTCAGCTGCTTCAAAAACTCTATCTGTGGCATTGAACATAGAAATTAATCAAGTTGGTGGTGCTTGTTTAAAAGAACGAGATTAGCTTACGGTGCTTATTAAGATATCCAAGATAACAAAAATAAGAATGGTACCAACAATGTAATTTTATATTTATATTCCGGCATGACATAAGAAAATTGAAAATTGTGTTGGACCATAGTAGTCATACTTATATGTTTTTTGAGTAGTTGAAAATGTAAAACTTTTTCTTAAAATTTTATAGCTGAAGGGGTCTTTTAAGAAAAAATCACCTATCATCAAGATACAACACTAACAAAATATGAGTGCACTCACATAAAGGATCAACCTCACTTTTAAGACAATGGATTACGATAGTCTTCTGCCTAGTGCTCTTAAAATAGGTTAGAACTCGTGAGCCAACCCAGTCCATCACGGGTTTTGACCAAGTTAAATTGAAAAAAAATTTAAAATTTCAATGAGTCAATTTTGTGTCCAGTCCACTGATTCATCCGGGTTGAACCTGTAGTGAACGTTGATTCACCAACCCTTTGTTTTGCTTTTTATATTTATTTTTGGATTGTATTTAGAGTTTATGATGATTTTGAATTAGATTGTACTTTTTTAGATTTTGAATTACATTCGGAACTTAAGATCATTTTGAAGTAAAATTTATTTATATTTGAATTAAAAAAATAATTTTTTTTAATTGAAAAACAAAACTTGTAATTAAGTAAAACAATGAACTCGTTTAACCTACCCAGATAGACCAAGATAAATTTGAATTTTTTCAACTAATTAATAAATGAGCCGAGTTAGGTTAGTTCACTCCTCCGACTTATATGTTATTCAATTTTTCCATTTTTTTCGGTTCCTAACCATAAACAATGTAAAAAAATTTGTTAGGATCTTAAACTTTGGTATGCTTGAGAAGTGTTACTTACTGACTGCATCAAGGGAAGCCAATAGCACCTCTCCAGGGAGCATGTTTAGGAAGGCCTGTCCTGGTTGTGATTTAAGCACAGGAGTCATCACTGATCCACTCATTATTCCAACACCATCAAGCAAAGACTTGGTTAACTTTTCTGTCATATTTGTCAGCTTTCTCACACTATATTGCAAACACGAAAAATAATCCAACTTAGTTCGTAATTATACATACCCTTTTAAAAGCTAAGACTATGTACGAAAAATAAAAATTCCTAGTCAATACTCTAATCCTTAAACATGAACTCGTGACATAAATAACTCAATTGCATCACATGTTTCAATACCGTTTGAGGTTTTCGTTCATTCCACTGTTTTTTGTGGCATCATTCTTGTTGTTCATACTTTGTCTCACCTTGTTAGCACTGTTCTTTTCTGCAGCACTACTTAGGATCGCTTCCCCTCCTTTTTGGACCTGATTTTCATAGCAAGTTTTTTTATGAAAAGCGTAATGATTTATTTGGTTCTTTCAAATGATGGAAAAAATCTGAAAAGAACAAAGCATACCTCAAATTTTATTATGTTGGATTATAAAATAAGATATGATATATATAAAATATTTTGTACCATATCATTTGAAAATCAAAGTCAATTTTGAAAATACTTATTCAAACCCACACCTGTTTTTACATTGAATGAAAAATTTATACAGAATTATATGCTATTGACCTACTTTTAAACTAAACCCATTTGAACATGGATCATTTCAAATCAAAATCAGTCTTAACCATAATGAAAGAACTGTTATGATAAGTTGAAAGGAAGCAAAAACAGAAAAAGAAAAACCAGTGTTATTCAACTGATAAAGCAAACCTGGTTGGTGTAAGCATTGCTGCACATGAAGATACCCTTAACGATCTGACCAGTTCCTCCTGCAATGGCTCTGGCAAGAAAGTGGTTATAATCTTCAACCCTCGGAGCAAAATCCTCCCAATCAAGATCACTCTTTTTGCTCTTTTCCAACCCAGAAAAGCAGCAATGCTCCTTCAGAAAAGAATCCACCATGCCCATGTTCCCATAACACTCTTTTGGAAAGGTCACACCATAGCTCAGAGGCTCGCCACCGTCTTTCACCGGCAGAGAGAAGAGGTAGTGAAGACCGTCCACCTTCACCACTGGCTCGTCCTTTGTCAATGGCCACTGAACACTGTTTCCAACTTTTATGACTGTTGCCAGTGCCACGTTCTGCTCCATCACCCTCATGATTGTGAAGTGCCCTTCGGCCAGTTCAAGGGCTTCTCCATCGTCCACCAGATGAACTTTGCATCCTGGAACTTGCAGCACAAGTTCTTGTGTGGGAGTTTTCGGTTTCTGCAACTCTTGAAAACCTGCATGGTGCATGGAGTTTTCATACGGTGGCTTCTCCTTCGAGGCTTGGCAACCCATCTCTGTTTTTCCTCTGTTTTCTCTGTTCTTTCTCTGTGTGTTAATGGGGACAAAAGGATTTTGTTTTAACGTTAGATAATGATAGAATTTGATTCGTAAATCTAAGACTATGTTCGATAGAAATGAAAAAATATTCAATAAAAATAAAAAAATATAATATATAAAAAAAAGTTAGGTTGATTCATTTGTTTTCACATGTGATAAAATAAGATATAAATATGTTCGTTTATAAAAAAACTTTTAAAAGTAATATCAAAACCAAATTTATTAGAATTTTACGGATAATATCTTAATAACATGTTTTTCAAGAACAAATCATAACAAAATACTATATATGCAATGACAACGTGTGACTAAGATGAATCAATGATAAATTTGTTTATTTTTATAAAAACTGTTACAAAAATTATTTAAGATTTTTAATTAATTGAAGCACAACATACTTTCTGACAGGGTAAAAAATATAGAAAGCAATCTGAAGAAACTATAGAAAATGTCATTATTTATTCATTACGTGGAAGATATTTGTTAGTGAGAAGCTTTTTGTGTTGATAGCTTTATTCTGTTCTCTGTGATTGGTGAAAAATGAGGAATATGGTGTGAAGATAATGGTGGAAATGGAATATGTAAGAAAAAAAGAAAAGAAAAAGGAGAGCTTGTTGAACAATGTACAACAGCATCAGAACATGCTACGACACCAAATACCTTACTACAACATGCATTATTCTTTCCTTTATCGGTGTTCTGAACTTCTGATGTTCTTTTATTCTGTTTTATCAGTTGTGACTGCATAGATTATTTGTCATAGATTCCAGTTTAATCAAAGAAATTATGTTCAATATTTAAAGAAAAAGCTTTTTAAAGCTAATTTTTATTGGACAAATATTTTACAACATGTATTTATTGCTCATGGTCAAATATCAGAAAATAATTTACACTACGTACAAATCTGCAATTGTTATATAAACATCTATATATCACAATAAAACATTAATAAATACTTTTGTAACATTAATAGAACTTTTTTTTCTAATATATTCTCTACTACCGGTTAAAATGTGTTAAAAAGAAGTGTCTGGTCGTCCCAATTTTGTTTAATATTTTTATAATTTTCAGTAATTTTAATGAAAAGATATGTATGGTTTACAATCTTATATTATACAACCACCATTTTAACATTTCTTTTTATTTATTGTACCATATGAACGGTCTTTATTGTCCACAATGAAGACATGATCGGACAGTCAGTAAAAAATGAATGGACTGATCGGGATGGCCGGTCTCAAAAGCATAAATAATTAACGATTTAGGCGATTAAGGTAAATAACGTTTACAAGTCTTGGACCAGGATTGGGCCAAGATTGAAACATCCGCTAATCCTAGATTTATGCTCGAAAACTATAAATGAAAGTCAAAAATAACAGGTAGTAGTAATTACTGTGCATTTATCACTGTCATTATCGTATTAGATAACCGGACAGTTCATTTACTCACTTTGGCATCAGAGTATCTTTAACATGTACACTCCGGCTGGACTAGCAAACCAGAGACCTAAGGAGTAAGACCGGACGACGAGAAAAGACAAATTGTGAAAGTATTTAGTGACTCACCATCATAACCGAATCATTTATTATGCTTATATTATTTTCTCTTGAATAGCATTTCCGTTAATCTTTTATCTTTTTCCTTGCAATTGCTATGCATATTATATAAGAGCAGAATTCATCTGCAATGTTTCTTCCTGTGCATGTTCTGTTTCTTATTCTTTACCTTCGTTTGTTGTCGTTGGATTTCTAAAGAATGCTTAACTTCAAACATATCTAAAGAATACTTTATTCTGTATTAAAATTGTAAATCAAAAGCTAAGGTTGAAATTTTCTTAGAACTATGTGTATGGAAGGCGTTATCTTTTATAATATAATTGATAACTGATCTTCTAAAAAATATAATTGTCAACTGATATTTTTTTTAAGTAATTATTATTTTGAAATATTTTGTTTAAAATGGTCACAATTTCATTTTTGTGTTTTTTATCATATTTGAAATTTCTAGGATTAACATCAAGTATTTTTTTATATATATTAACTTAATCAATTTACATACAGGGGTGCAAAAGGCAATCTTCCAATATCAGCCTTTAGTGTTACAAGATCTAAGGCATTTACTTTCTGCACCTTCATGATTTCTTCTTCCATCTCAAATAGGTATTTAAAAGGTTTAAAATGTTCTTTCAAAATTTGTAGAATGCTTAATTCAAAAATATCTTTTAGATTATGTAATATATAAATATATTCATAAACACATTTTAGATTATACAAAATGTATTTTTAAATTGGCTTAATTGCTTACTTGATCTTTACATTCATAGGTTTTTTTCTGCTTAGGACCTGTTTTTAAAAATTCTCCAATTTGTCTCAAAGTGGTATAGATTGTATCAATCGTGTCCCTTTTGTTAAATCGTCGAGTTAACTTCATGCTAACGTAACTATGAAATTAGTACTATTTTGTTTTTTTTCTTTGTTTTTCTTGCAATGTCCCATCTTTTTCTCTCTTTTACATCTTTATGTAAGAATTAATTTGTAAATTTTTTTACATTTATATGATTTTTATTTTTAACTTATATACACGCTAACTTTATTTTATAGAGAGTTAAACTCAATTTTTTTTTCTTAAAAACATTTCATCCTGATTAATGTTATAGTATATTTTATTTTATTTTTCGAGTATGACTATTTGATTTGAAAATAAAATCCAACTTGTTATTTATTCGGTTAATAGTTCATACCGAATTAAAATTATTTATAAAATTTTAAAAAACATAAGAATATTCATATTCATGAGTATTCATAAATATTTAAATTTTGTTATAGATTTTTTAAATACAACTTAAAAAGTTGCCAAAAAAATATAAAATTTAAATAATTTAAATTAAAAATACATTAATTTTAATTATAATTATAATTAAATATAATATAATAATATTTTAATTTAATTTTAATTTTTTTCATTAACGGATACAAAACAAATAATATAATACTCACATCAAATTTGTTTATAAATAAATATTAAAATATATATTATTTATTATTTATAAATACTAAATATTCACAGATTTTATCCACAGTACTTATTACATTAGTATTTTTATCATTCCATTATGAAAGTGACCAAGGATAAAGAAAAGTAATTTAAATTTTTAATTTATTTTTCATTTAATATTTGCTAAGTCATTTTTAACATAGTGGCTTGTAAATGTTAATTTTAAAAAAATTCAAGGATGTTCTACGATAAAGTCTTCCATTAGAATATCTAAGGTGAATTTGCTTATGCAACTTACATCTTTAAACAACTTTTTTTTTAACATTTTATCTTACAAAGGAAAATATTTTAAACATTAACATTTAAGTTAATTGTAAAAATTATAAAAATAAATAGCAATTTTAATATTAATGTCAAATTTTGTGTAGAATGTTTAAATTTATCTGACATGTAATATCACGAAATTGCATTAAAAAGTTTCTTTAAACAAGTGAATAGACATAATATAATTGATAAGAAAATTCCTTTTTTTTTTAATAATCTAATAGTATGTAGTCACCACCATTAACTCTTTCCTATAATATCTCATGTACTTGATATCCATGCATTAAAAACTAAACAATGCCTTAAATATATTAATTTAGTATTTAATATATTTTTGTGTTCTCAGTTAATTAATTCATACCTTTTTTTTTCTTAGTTAGACTTTATGCTGCATGATGTAAAAGGTAATTTAAATTTTAAATAACAGTGAAAAAGAGAACTAATAATCCTATTATCGTTTTTAGATTTTTTTAAGCTAAGTAATATAATGAAAATACTTGATGTGGATAGTAAAACATACTAATAAAAGGTTAATGTTAAAAAAAAAGGAAAATAAAAAAAATTAAAAATATAATTAAAATATTTTAATGGGCATGAAAAAGAAAAAGACCAATTTAGACTGTTATTAAAAAAACTGAATTACTTAATACTATAGAAGTAAATAACGTCTATGTGAGCCCAGATTTCATAGTTAGGACATTGCAAGAAAAATAGAGGAAAGAGAAGAAATAATAGTAATTTCATACACCGAGTTACTTGAGAAAGAAGAAGAAATGGAGGTACTAAAAGAAATAACGTCTATGTGGGCCCAGATTACTTGAGGCCCAATATAAGGCCCGACACAGCAATTTCTCTCTCTTTCTCTTTTTTTTTCTGTGAGCTTGTGAGACTGTGTTACTTTATTGTCTTCACTCGCAGCTTGTTCATCATTGGTGAGTGCTGACATTAACATTTTTGCCTGCGTTTTGTATTTTGTTCCTGTTCAATGCTTTCAACTTCTCATTGGTGAGTTCAGATTGTGCCATGATTCTGTTTTTTTTGTTTCCCTCTCTCTCTTCTGAAAGTGCTTGTGAGTATTTATGAACACGAAGAGTGCCCAATATGTTTGCATTATCGCATGCCCTTTTCTTGTTTTCGCCATTTCAGATTGGATTAAGAGGCAAAGTTTCCGACTTTGAATTATGGTATTGCTGGTTGCACTTGCATTGCTTCTGGGTCTCTTCCTCGCTGTTCTTCTTTTCAACCCACGACACCGCAAATCTGGTTCTGTTCATTATTATGCTGTGATCTATTATGTCACGCTGTGTGTTTTTGAAATTTTGTATGCATGGGCTTACTGTGTGTATTTACGGTAATTCTTTGCATCTATTTCAGGGCACAAGGGAAAAGCTCAAACCAGTTTAAACAATGATAAGGTATTTTACTTATTGGAGCTCGGTACTTTTTCTGGCATTTTGTTATGGGCTCTGCTGTGAATTCTGCTCCTATTTCCGTAGATGATTGAGTAAGATAATTAATGAGCTTTGTTCAAGTAACATTTCGGATCTAGTTGAAATTAAGATAAATAAGTATTGTAATGTCTTGGTTTCGGTTACTCAAGCACTGGATGAGGTGGGTTTCTTATGATTTGTTGTCATTGGGTGTTTTGCTCAATGCTCATATCATACGCTATAAGAAAGAAGGTTTGGGTTGATGATGACGAAGAATGCTCGCAAAATATTCGTTAAAAGTTACTTTTATCTTTTCGACTGGAAGTAAATGTAGCTATTGCTGGGGCTCGTACTAACTAGTAAACAATATTGGGAGGGTTGATTCAAACATAAAATTGTGTGTTGTTTAGTTGCGTAATGGTTTTTTTTATCTAATTGGTATCACGCACTGTATTCTGTATTCTGCTTGTAGACATCAAAATCCTACAGTAAAACGGAAGTTTCATTGCATAACAAGAGAACAGATTGTTGGATAATCATCAAGAAAAAGGTATGAGCTTTTTATTGATGTTTCACTTTGGCACCTTATGAATGTGCTACTCCTTTGGTTTAGAACCCAATAGTATTTCCATATCAAATCTTATGTTCTGAATTCAATCCTATATATTCTACATTATCTGTTTTTGGTACAGTAGTGTTAATGGGGTTTGAAGTTTGAACCTATAACCTCATACAAAGTATCCAAACCCGTCATTGCTAGCTCAATCCTAATGATTTAACTGAATTAGCTGATAATGTTGTGATTGCCATTTTTACCTCTTGGACAGATTCATAGTTTGCATTTATTGGGTTTCTTCACACTGTAGGTATATGATGTTACCTCTTATGTGGAAGAACATCCAGGTGGTGATGCCATTCTAGCACATGCTGGAGATGATTCAACTGAAGGATTTTTTGGGTATGCATTCATTCCTTTTCATGCATTGCTTATCTGTAATGAAGATATTGCCTTAATTTATCTATATTTATTATTTGTTTTCTTACTTCACATTTCTTTTTGTATTTCAATATTGAATACAATATAGCATTTCCTGTTTATTTCATCACATTATCCTGTTATACCAATAATCTTGGTAATCTCTGTTGAAGGTTACAAGAGACACTGCTTTTCACTGTTAATAAATTAATAAACCATGCTATATAAATAGATTACAGCTACAAACAAAACATCATAGTTGTAACTTTTATGTGTCAAATTCAACATCAACCCATTCCTCATCATCGAAAATATGTACTTCACATGATTTTATCTTTGACAGCTTTACCACCTGTTGATCATAAAAGGCTTCTGACATTTTGTGATCAGTTTGCTGCTACCAATTGTAACTTTTTTTACATTTTCTTTGCAGACCACAGCATGCAACTCGAGTCTTTGACATGATTGAAGACTTCTACATTGGAGATTTGGAACAATAGCCTAGTCAGTAGCTCTACAGTTTTAATGTTCAAGAGATGTATGATTTGAGAATTTCAACATTTTACTCCTTGTTATCTCCTCATTTTCACTCCTTGTCTGATCATTCATCTTCATTAGACAGTAATTCAGTTGTTGCTGTTGGAATGCATGATTTTGATATAATTGGGCATGACGCGCAGTAACAGCAAAAACTGAGCCTTCCCCTTCTTTTCATCATTATTTTATCTTAGTTTCTTATCTTAGCAATTTCCTTTTCCCTGATTTACATTATTCATAGTTTATTGATATAAACAAATCTCATCATACAAAAATATTAAGCTAAATTAAAATATTGGTACTTTATTATCCACGATTTTGTCTTCCTTACTTTATTTTTCAGATTTTATAAATTCTGCATTTATGGTTTAATCATTAATTTCAGCAGCCAAACTTGAATTTTAAGAATGTCTGGCCCGTGATTTGGATCTGCCCAAATCTTAAAATGGAACATTGTTTTAGGGAAAAGTTGCAAAATAATGCACTGCTTGTGATGTAGAAATGGAATTAAAAGATCGAATGTGAATGCTATATTGTATGTATTTAGCAATTCTTGGTTGTTCATAAACTGCCAGATTGAATTTTTACAATGGAGCTGAAAATTACATGGGATTGAATGTGTTGTTAAAAATACATGTTTATGGAAGAAGGGTTTTGCCTCACAAAAGGAATCGATCGATCAAATATGAATCAATTGGCAATATTGATATGCCAAAACCCTTGCTTCAAAAGTAGGAGCCATTGTGCCTCAAAATTTAGGGGCAGAGACACAAGACAAAATGGACAAAAACTTTGTATGCTGAATGAAGCCATTTCTTGGTTACTCAGATCTCTTTGGTTGACGCCATTGGAACAAACATTTGGATAAAGAAGTGAGGAATGAGCCTCTTGTAGGCATTCCTTTCCTTCCATACAAATGTTTTCCTCCCAAGTCTGTGAAAACTGGTGCCACATCTTGCCTTTTTGGTAATCTCTCTATCTGAAGAATATTCAATAAACAAAAAATAAACAAAATTTGGTTAACAAAAAGGAATGCATGGATCCAACCTTCCCTTCCTAATTGCTACCAAAAAATATTGAGAATACACTCTTCTGAACATAGTTTATTATCATTAGAAATTTATTGAAATTCACAAGTTCCACTTCTCATTTAACTGATTTCATTTATGATTTAGTTTGTTATAAAATTTAATATAATGAAGAATGTGTTATGAATGGTTTTCTAGTATAGTAGCATTTGGGATGGAAAGGTCAGAGTAATAATTACAGCTTTTTATGTCAACTTGTAAAGTCAAGCAAAAGTAGACATAAAACCCTGGTCAATTTACCTTGTTGATTTTTCCATCTTTCAAATAGTATATAATGCCAGACCAATTGATAGATTGGGAAAAATGAGAACGAATTGCAGATACAGGGTATAGACAGTTATCCACCAGCATTGCAATGAATACCTGCTCAACAGATATGTTAATCAAATCTTACCTTCCCAACTATTATTTCACATTCCTTGGCATCATATTAATTTAATATTCACATATTATAGTGTTTTTTAGGAGTTCATGCAACCCTTTATTTCATTGCAATGCCATGTTGAAATGAGTAAGATGTCTAAGACATCATTAATCTATCAATGTATAAAGCAAGCTTGGTGAAACTTTTTTTTTTTTTGCTTTTGTTTGAGAACCTGAAGAAGTACTTACTTTACACCAATTATACGAAGCCAGAGAAAGTGGAGGTGCCTCTGGGGACAATATGTTGCAAAGTAGAACTTCTATCCTTGTCAAGTTCCACATTGAGAAAAGCGCAACAAAAGTGCATGCGACTAGGAGCCCCACCATTTTTAACCCTGAGAAAAGACAGACCTTAAAAGCTTAAGGTCATCTGAAAAATCATATTTCTTTTCCCCTTTACCAACCTTGTCCACTATTCATGTGGCATGAGAGCATATAATATATTGTTGTTATTAGAATATAATGATCCACAACACCAGATAGTAGATTACCCCTAATTCATATCGGATTTCTTTCTTTCTCTTGATATAGAATCTCGCAGGATAGAGAGGATAAAAAAAAGATGGCATAAATTATAGCTTAAATGAAGCACGAATATACTATGCAAGTGGTTATAATTTCTATGCAAGTGCCTGCTACTTCTGCACTAAAATATTGAGACCAATCACAAGAGTTTCCTATCACTTCAAATATTTGGAAAAGTTTCCTTATTCTGTTTCAGCATCCTGCCCTTTTTCTGCACGTGAAACAACACTAATAACAAAGGAAAAAGTAGTGTTCTCACCAATTGAAGAGTAGCTTAATTCCTCAATTGAGTTTCCCCTGGCTTTAAACCTTAGTGCTGCTGCAACATGAATCACTGCCATGCAGTATGGTGCTACAAATCCCCATGACAAATAACAGTGAACAGCAAACAATGCACGGTTCATTATTTGGTTGACTCTGGTGACGTATGACTCCAAAACAAATGTTTGCTTCCTCAAGTAATTCCAATATCTACAAACGTTAAAAAGAAAGTAAATCATCAAAAATGCAAAGAAACACAATTTAAGATGAGAAATAATCACAAACCTTCCAAAATTAAGATCACTTGCAAGGGGGTGAGGAAAGACAGCAACCGCTGGAGAACTAATGAGCTTCTTGTGAGCCCCTGAAGAGGAAAAAATCATGGCAATGAACATGTAATTTGAGTGACCAAGAAAAACATTGATTATCACAAAGTGTTAATCGCAAAGATATACCGGCTATGGCAGCTAGAGTCATGTCATCAGAATATCCACCGTCTCTAAGTCCTGACACTACACCACAGTTATCTTTCCTAAAGTCTTCAGAATGCATCTGGAGGAAAGCTAAATAGTGAGAATGTAAGCATTTCTATGTACTGATGAAAACAAAGGTAGAAGCCACTTGCCATCATGCACCCTCCCCACAAAAAGAATGTTTTTCCACCAGTGGCAAAGCCCATTGAACAAGGCTGTAGAATAAAATAAAAATGGGAACAAGTTGAGTAAGCAAAAATAGAACATTTTTGTGTTGTGTTCGTGACAGCATTAATATAAGTCATGATATGTTGCTAACATCATAACATGTTTCAAATTAATAATTGTAATAGTTAACTCCAAACAAATATATAAATCCAAAGGAAGTTGTGTACCATATGGTATTCATAGATGCAGTAACTCCCTAGACTTCCAGATGGCAAATCAAGAGGGTATCCGGTTTGAATAAATATCTGTTAAGCATCATAAGTTGAAAGAGTGTAACCAAATAGTTGTAAGCAAGTGTAACCGAAAATATTTGAAATAAATGTGTAAGAAAAGAACCACTAGAAGAAAAGTGTTTTAAGTTGTACATCAGGGTTCTTTTGCATTTCACTAACGAGTGCTCCAATTGATCCCGGATGTAGCCTAACATCATCATCTAAAAACAACACATACTTGCTTTCTTTGTGCATTGCCTCTACTCCAACCTGCCCAGGTGCCAATACTATGTAATAATAGTGAAGTTGGTAGAATGCATTCAACATGGGCAAACTAACAAATTAACAAGAATGAAATTTCTGACATTCCATATCAGTATATAAATATAGGTACTTAGATGTATTTTCCATGCAAGGTTTATATAGATAATATGGCCTTTCAACAGCTACACAATCAAACAGCTAAAGATGCATCAGCATGATCATGTATTCAATAACAGAAAAATTTAAGGATGGAAAGAATTTTCAAATTATACCATGTTCTACTATACATTTGAAAAATACTGGAACAAAGTATAAGAAAAACTCATACCAACTGATTGTGAATTTTTTGACTACAACTTGTTGACAAACCAGCTACTATAATCCTAGCATCGACAGAACCCTGTAGGCATTAAGCAGTGAGTAAGATGCAGAAAATAACAGGGCGCCAAAAAATTAGAATCAAGTCTTAAAAAGAGTTTCACGTGTACCTCTAAATCTGCTATTAGTTTTGATACAGCATGGTATGCAGGATCCTCTACACTTTCAACCACCAAAAGAAATTCTAGAGGGCCACCGTAAAGAGATGTTAACTGTAAAATAACATAATCATAAACAAAACAATTCCGTTTAAAATTAGAAGCTTAGCCGGGAAAAATGGTCATCGTTGAAAAATACTTCATTGGGTCAAGAAGTTGCAGTGGTACGTGTCCTATACCTGAGTCTTCCAGTTATGGAGATTGTGTTCTCCAAATCCTTTTAGGGGCATAATTACTGTTACTCTAGGAAGATCAATCTGATTGGAATGTTCAAGTTCATTAATATCATGACAGAGGAATGCAAAGTTATTGCCATTCCGTATACTCTTCTTTATTCTATTTATTTCTCTGTTCCTGCAAGACAAAAATCAACTCCTCTAAATTTCTTTTGTACACAATGATAATTGAGTTTCCCAACTCTGTTTTACATCTGAGTACCTGACAAATGAAGCACAGGCCCACCCTAAAGCCAGGAGTAGGCAAATTAAACATCCCTACATGATGAAACCTCAAATCAAGTTAGTGTGACAATGCTCAATTTTTTTCTTAAGAAACAACAAGTGCGATCCAATTTGAAGGAAAAATATGTAAATAGTCATCTTGTGACTACGCAATCCAAAAACAATATCTATAATGTTGCATGAATTCTAGCGTATTCCTCCTATGTAGAATTCTTAATATTATTAAAGCTACATGTATTGATTGTAGAAATTATGTGAATTAATGGACTAAATGATTTGCAATTTTCATTTCATGATCTTCCTAGAACAAACAAGATTGAAGCAAATGAGAACCTGAGCCTGAACGAAAATGGCCAGAGGAGATGAGAAATCTGTGCTGACACGGAAGAGGAAGAAATCGAGAGAGTCTAAGGAAACCATTGTGATTTTTTTGTCTGTTTTCTGAAACTTTGTTCCTTGGGACTCTCCGATTCCTACAACACAAAACACAGACCCGGATGTTTTATTTAATGGAATGAGCCTAAGCTATTTCTATCTCTGCATTATCATCTGCACCACACAACAAAATTAAACACAACACCACTATTTTATTTCTCTCTCTCTTTCATCTATTTTAAGGCCCTATCTCATGTGGAAAAGGGAGAAGTTACCATTGGATTGGTGATTATTAATAGCCCTTGGTATTAGATGTTTCCCAATCCTTTTTTTCTTTTGAATCAGACCTTTTTCAAGTTAGTTTCCTTTTCCTCACCAAACTATTCACTAATTAACATGCCATACTATGTCCCTTCTTTTATTAATTGTTTTGCATGCCTGCATGCATGCAGGAATATTACTGTTTTAAAAATTAGAACTATTAAATTTTTCTATCCCTTGAAAGAGAAATTTCAAAATTATGTTTAATTATATAATTTAAATTTACTAATGTTATATTATAAAATTATATTTATTCTATATATAATCATTCAAATATAAGTGAAAACATTTTTTTCAAATTCTTTTCTTTTTCTGGCTAAATTATTCACATTAATAAAACAAATTATATAACTGTACTTTTCTGTTTTAAGTACTATTATTGTACTAAGCTAATATATTCTATTTATTATAAATAAATTATATAATTTTAATTTAAGAATGATTATGTTTATACCATATGAAGTACTTTAAAATGTCAAATGCAAGTAAAGAGAATACAAATCTAAATTATCACTGCACGAAATATGGTGGGAGTAAGCAAAACTAACTTTCTAATAATCATCTAAACTTGTCATCTCCTACATATCTAAACATTGTTTCTAATCATTATTATACTCTACACATAAAATGCGACTATAGTATTGATATTATATTCTCTCCGACTTGTATCATTCTTTATTCATCTACTTAAAAAAGATGAAAATAGACAAATATCACAATATACACGTCTCAAAACAAAGAAACTAAATTAAAAGATTTTACTTAATTACTCAAATGTTTCCCAAAAAAACATAATGGAAAATTTTTCAACAGTAACAGCACTACAACAATATTCCCAGCACACAACAATGTTTTCTTCTGGAGATACAACATGAAAGGAGTTCTCTAAGCTAGTCATAGAACTTGTTCATCATCTTCAGAAGATACAGAAGAAACTTGTTCTCTAAGCATAGGAAATTTATCAGGTAATGTATATAATGGTCCATCACTTGTAGAAGTAGAACCTTGGAATGCAAGTCCTAGCGTGTATCCAAGAGCACGAGCCACTGGAACAGCCACTGCATTCCCAACTTGAATGTACCTATAACAAAAATATCAAATTATTCAAAAAAACCTCTAAAGAAAACAAACATATCAAACAAATAATTTATTACCTCTCTTTGACTGGTCCACACAACTTGTAAAAATCTGGAAAACCTTGGAGTCGTGCATTTTCACGAATAGTCAACACTCTATCTTGTTCTGGGTGTAAAATTGCCTAAAGACCACATATTTTATATTCAACAACAGACTTTGTAAACAACCATTCTGAATTGCAAATAGATGATAACATACCTGATTGTGAGGTTCTGCTCGTGTCACAACAGTCGGAACAGTTTCATCCCACCACAACCGAGCAAAAGGTCTGAAAAAATCATAGTAGTAAATGATTCAAAACGTAATATGATGAAAAAGTAAGAAAACCAAGATCATAAGGGCTTAAAATCCAAATTGATTTTAAAAATAAATAAAATAACTTACTTTGAAGAAGTTCCATTCACAAAAGACATGGCGTAATCAGGAACCTGTAAACCAATGATCATAAAGAATCAATTAAGTAAAAAAGAATAAGTACAATGATTTATAGAATAAAAGCATATAATTATTAGAATGAACTGTCGAAAGCCATGTTACCAATGGTTTTCCGGAATCCAAATAAACACGTTCCATATCAGGATCCCACTCAACCTTGTTATCAGTTCCTACAAGAACACCTGGTAAATCTCTAAAACATGCACCCTGATAACAACAAAAAATACTATTATAGAACTAAACTTAAAAATAAGACTATATAAATAATAATAGGTAAATCACAAATGACCATGTACTACACCTTCTTTTTAGGAATCATACACACACGTTGGTAATCATCCGCATTCAATTCTAAAGGACGATGATCATAAAGCAAAGTCTTCGATGATTTTGTTTTGCTTTGAATACCTAACATTTCTGCATCACACGTAACGCAATCATTCATTGGAAAGTTTGTCATATAATCAAAAAATATATAGTATCAGACATATCATAACTTGGATTTTACGAGTAACTCAAAATCTTATAAAATTAACTCATAAGACTCATATATTATAAATTAACTTTATCTTTAATAAATGGTTGGACTTCAACACACTTTACTAAAACATATACATATCAAACATGAAACTAAATATTAATATGTTATATCATAATGAGTGAAACAGTAAACCTAACAAATATCAAATTCATACAAGGGTGGAACAATAGATCTAACAAATATAAAATTTCAATAAAAAAGATTTCAACACATGACTCTAATATCATGTTAAAAAATAAATTTTAAATTTAATTCAATCTCACAAAACTAGTTTATAAAATAAGTTTGCACTCAATTATATATTAAGAATTAATCTTATATCTAATTAGTGTGAGACTTCCAACAAAAATCTAAAGCTCCAACAAAAAAACTCCCCATGCAGACTTTAATTGAAGTATCATACATACTTTATAAATCATATGCATAAACATAAACAAAATAATGTATTACCACTTTTGGTTGATCTAATGAATCGTTGGAACTCTGTTTCAGCAGGTTTGCAATATTTCATTTCATCACGATGTTCACTATTTTGAACCTGAACATTGATAAAGTTTACCACAATAAACTAACACAATAAGAATAGATAAGGGCTTCGGAAAAACAGAAATAATGGCTTTAAAGTATACCGTAGGAAGGTCAGAAATGGCATCTTTTAATAACAGTTTGCTCTGTAGTTGAACGGTGTGTCCTTCGTCATACGCAACTGTGTTAGTCTACAAGCAAGACAGTGTCACAAACTTTAGTGAAGGAGTAGACAAGTTCAACTAATAGCCTTTAACCAATAATCTATTCTTAAGGTTGAGTAATTGATCAACTGGATACCTCAAACTCTACGGGAATAACACCCCTCACAATAACATCATGAGTTGGGAGTGGAAATTGAGGCAACGTCTGCATCACATATATAAATTAGGCCATGCACCAATAGTAAAATTTAATGATAAATAACTAACTAATAATGACCTGAGAAGGTGCAGCCCCCCATAAGAACATGCGCAAACGAAACTGAGGAAGTCCATAAGAGCCTGCAGCCATAATTCCAAGACGTGCTTGATAATTCATTTGAATGAGACGACCCAAAGCATATCTCCCAAGAAAGCCATCCGCAAATTTAACGATATCAACCACATTTTCCATTAATGTAAATTTGGGCTTAAGGTATTGAACAATATCCATATAAACAACCATTTGTTTGTTCTTCTCATCATCTAAAGGATTTTCTTTGTTTCTGAACCGGTTGAAACCACTAATACCTTGACAAGGGGGTCCACCACAAATCACATCAACATCTCCCTATTCAACCACAGCACCAACACCATAGTTACACCAAACTTAAAAACAGCTCTTAAAGAAATAAACAAATAATATACAAACTTAACTACTTACCGGCAAAGGCAATATATTTGACTTAAAACCTTGAATGACAAATTCATTAATTTTGTCCTTACAATGCCTGTTGAAAATATAGTAAATAACCATTGCATATAAGAATATAATGAATACTGTATATTAGCAAAAACATTAATAAGAATTATAAATCACTATCATTGACGAAAAAGTAATAGAACAAATTTAAGTAGATATCATTTATCAATAAGAACAAGTTTGTAAAATACTTTAACATACCTTAAACCTTCAATTGGTTCCCAAGAGTCCTCATCAGATCCATAACCCTTCCATTGAACCTACAAAGCAAAAAATCAATGCAAACAAGCTTAGCATACAGATAAAAGAAGTTATAAGTCCAACCTGAGAAGAAGAAAAACAAGTGGCAAAAACAGTACCTTAAAGTATAACCCTTGCTCTTTTTTCTTATTTGGATCACCGTAACAGACAGCAAAGATTTCAGAAACTTCAAATATTTCACCATGTTCATCATCAGTTCCATCTTCCGTAATTTCTTCATCATCATCTTCTTCTTCCACCTCACTAAAAAGATTCACATATTTCTCATGTGACACCTTATTTTCAACTAGATCAAAATAACTACATAATTTTTGCCACTCCTTCAATAATGAAAGAAAACATTCTGCTGATTCATTTCTGACCTGATTTTAGTAAACAGTCAAGATAATCAGTCCAAAATAATAATAATAATAATAATAATAATAATAATAATAATAATAATAAGGAACCCCTTATATCATACAATTTGAAAATAACTCACTCTTGTGGCAATTAGCATAGTAAAAACAAGAAAAATAAAATTACCTCAGTCTCAGGGTGATTTAATTTAAGAGATTCACAAGCATGTTTATTCAAGTCTACAGCCCATTTCTGTGGGGGAAAAAAGACAATATCAACAAAGACACAGCCAAAACAAAAATTCAAAGAATTGTATTGTAAAAACAAATAAAGAACTCACTGTAACTAAATTCACTCCAGATAATTGTCCACCCAGACACAACCCTGTTGACATTGCTCCACAACCAGAATATAAATCTAGTAGTCTCATCTCCATATCCTTACTCTGGTGAGGGAGGTAGGCATCCTTAGATTGGGAGTCTACCTCAGACTTTTCAACCCCATTAGTAGTATCACTGGATATTATAGAGCAAGTCTCGCTACTAGTTTCATCATTTTCTTGAAAAAAAGTTTATACCAAAAGTGAGATGTCACTCAAAAAATTACTAATATTAATAATACAAATACAAATAAATACCTGATGGTAAGTTAACAAAAGTGGAGTATGGCAAAAGATATTGTGTATCACAATAATAATCATAAGAACAGATGGTTTCCTTCTTCACATTTAAATCTATCTGCAATTGAATTAAATTATTAAAAAATCAAATCACTAATATTATTAATAATTCCAATAGAAGAAAATAAGAAAGTGATGAAAAAAACAATCAATCAGCACACTTACATCTAATGGTAATCTACCAATGT